CACCCCGCGGGGCGGGGGGCTGGGAATTGGAGTCTTTCTTTCGCCGGCTCTGGCTCCGCTTCCTGCCCGCCCTCCTCCCCCGCCTGGGTTGAAAGCTTCCCCTCACCTTGGCGGAGACTCCCCGTGGCCTCCTGGGCACCCTGCGGGTCTACGCGGGGAGCTTGGGGAGCGCAGGGACCCGGCGCCACCTGCGCGCACCACGCGTGAAACGCGCAGGCAGGATGCCCCCGAAAGTTGTCTTCCGCGTGCGCGGCTTCCACCTGTTCTTTGCTGCTTTTCTTACTTTCTCTGTGTCTTTCCTTCCTTCCTTCCTTTCTTTTTTGTTCTGTTTTTTTTTTTTTTTTTTTTTTTTTTTTGTGTTTTTTTTTTTTATTTTAANTTTTTTTTTTTTTTTTTTTTTTTTTTTTTTTTTGTGGAGCCTGTCCTGCGACGGGGAGGTCGATTTCCACACGGACAGTTCTCCTGAAAGCTCGGAAAGGCCGCCCTGGATTACGCACGAGTCCCTAACTCCAAAGGAGGCTCAGGAAAGCAGCTGGTATTTATTGTGCTACCGAAAAGTACAGATCGACCCCGCACAGGGCAGGAAGAAGCCTTTGGGGAGGGTCCGGTGGGTGGAAAGCATTGTCTTTTTAACTTAGTTGATTGTTTTCTAAAAAAAAAGGCTCCTTTGAGTCAGCACGTCGGGTGGCACAGCCTTGGCGTCCTCTGGCCGATTGTTTTTCGTGATACTCTCGGAGAGTCACAGACCTGTTTCAAATCCACCTGCCAGCTGGCCGATTCCTGCCAAGTTCCTCGCGCTCTCCAAGCCTGGGAACCCTCGTGTGTAAAATGGGAATAAAAATTGCACCGACCTGCCGGAGATAGCTATCGCTAAGAAAGACAACTCGTGTAATGGGATAATCGCCATTCGGAGTGTAAAACCCAAACACTCTATAAAGAGCTGCTGCTAAAGGGCCTTTAGTTCGGACTGGTTTCCTGCAAGCAAATACCCATCTGGAAACATTTTTAAAGTCAGCTTTGATAAGCTTCAATGGGAGCTTTAACAGTTTCATTTAAGAAAAAAAAAGAAAAAAAGAAAAAAAGTAAGATTATGAACTCTTGTAAAAGTGTGAAATACCTAGGAATGAATCCACTATAAAGTGCAGACTCCTGATGAAGAAATTATAAAGGTCACAACATAAAAAAGGCTTGAAGAAGTAGAAGGTGAAATTACCAACTTCTCTGAAATTAACTCTTTTAATAAAATTCTGATGGTGGTGGGTGGATGGGGAAGGGATGACATAACTTTCTAACACTCGAATGGAAGGCTGTGAAAAAAGCTAAGATATTTTTTAAATGGGGGGATAGACCTATATTACCAAATCTTAAAACGTATTGCAAAGCTATCACTGAAACAGTGTGGCGTTGATACAAGACTAGATGATTAAGCATCAGTGGAATAATTGAAAGCTTAGAAACATATACAACATATTTAAAATGAACTGTATGATAAATGTGGCATTTCACTTTCTTGGGGAAAGGATGAATTCTTCAATAAGTTAGGCTGGGGAAAACAATTTGGGAGGAAAACACACAACTAAGAATTTATTTAAACCAGCACCAAAATCAATATCGGACGCTGTCAAATGACAAAACTAAAACAATTTAGGAAGATTTTAATGTGCTTTATACAAAGGAAAACAAGCTATGGTTTGGAGGAGCATCGTGCCTCACAAGCAATGGAGCCCTCCACAGGCAGGACCTGGGGCAAAAGCCAGTTTAATGGGATGTTAAAAGAGGCAACGCTCGACTGGCTAGGAGGCTGGGCTTTCCTTGTAAGGCGAGCAGGTCCTATTTTCTAGGGTAAGGAAAGCTAGCTAAAGCTGAGCTGGAGGATCCTGATTGGTGTATGTTAGGTTTCCTTGGCAAGTGTTTCCCCTAAGTTCAGGCTGACAGGTTTAGATTTGTGACACGGGTGGGGCCTCCACTTTGTGGATCCCAATACAGCAGTCCCCCCTTACCCACGGTTTCGCTTTCCACAGTTTCAGTGACCCACGATATGAAAATATTATATGGAAAATCCCAGAAATAAACAATTTATAAGTTTTAAATTGCTCACTGCTCTGAGTAATGTGACGGAATTTCACGCCATCCCACTCCATCCCGCCCAGGGCGTGAATCATCCCAGTGTAGCCACCCTCTCTCAATGATGAGAGAGTCATTGATCAAGCCCACAACCTGGGCATGTGCCCTGACCAGGAATCGAACCCTGATCGCCTGGATCCTAGGTTGACGCTCAACCGCTGAGCCACGCCCAGCTGGGCTTACACAAATATTTTTAAAATGCTCATACTCACTAGCAAAGACATTAAAAGTTTTCATTACAAAGAGTGGGGTACATCTTTGTCAAGAATTTCTAAAAACATAATTTGCAGGGTTGACAAATATACAATGTTCTTGTGAATATAGATTAATATCATCTTTCTGAAAGACAATATAACTCAAAAAATGTATCATTTGCTCCAACTAGTCCTCATCTGGAGGTTTAAGAAAATAAAAAGATGAGTACAAAGATTTATTTACAGGGGCTTCATCATAGTGCTTTTTTTATTATAGTGAACCATTAGAGCAGCACCTGGTTAAATAATGATTTAGCTCTTTAAAAAAAAGCATTTTTTAAGAGAATGAAGAATGACTTGGGAAAATGTTCACAATATAGTAAGTGAAAACGGTTAGAGTATGATCCCAATTATACTACATTCACACACAAAAGAAACTGGAGAATATTCATAAAAATATTAACTGTAATTAGAGTGGTAGGATTACGGGAAATTTTATTTTACTTGTCATTCTGGCATATCTGTGTTTTCTAATCTCTCTGCAAGAAACATGTATTACTTTCATCATCAGAAAAAAAGAATAAATGTTATTTGAAAATAATCACATGATATTCTTGACTAGTGTGGGCTTCCACTTAATCACATAACTCACAGTAGTGTTTTGTTTTTGTTTTTTTCATAGCTGTATTATTTCTTTCTCAATAATCTTCTTATGCTGGGTGCACTGGAAGAAGACAGGCCTTTATCATTCACTAATTTGGAGACGGCTTTTCCTAAATTTCAGTTCTCAGTTTTCAGGAGTTCTGGTAGGTAAGAGAGGGAGACAGAAACATTGGGCTTTTTTCCCCAGGGACTATTTTTAAAGGATTCTAAACATCATTTGTTCATTCCTTCATTCATTTCTTGAAAACTGAACCTTTATCAAGTGCTTACTGTGAGCCAATTATCACCCAATCTTTGACGCTCCCAGCTTGGGCACGAAAGATTTAGAGCAAGACCCACCCTCCCGGTGTACAACGTTCCCAGGTGTAAGATGACCTTTCCAGCCTTCCCCAGAGGACAAGCCCATCCAATATTATCAACTGCTCCCTTGAACTTCCCGTATTCTTCTGTTTATTCCTGTGATTCGAGCTCTCACCTGACAGACATACATGGTGACACGGACAGGTTCTCACCCTAGTCCCAGG